ATTCATTGTAAGCAAATGCATGTAATTAAACCCAAAGCATTTACATTTCTACATTAATTAATTGCTTAATGGGACAGAACTCAACTAGGATTCCAAGTTGATTTGAAATTAGGAAGTAAAATTTCTGTAAGAATTCTCACTTTTTATTGATTGGGACTGGTCTTACATGTGGGTTTTACCTTACTTCCACAGGAGTCTTTGATTAAGTGTACTTGGCAATTGTCAATAGAGTTTCAGTTTAGCTGCAGGGAATTTGGCATTTTGCATTCTTTGGCTGCTCTTGCTACTTGGGAATGTGGTGATTAAATTGCAGGATGTGATCAAAGCATTGCTTGACTTTTGTGTCATATTTTATCTACTTGAGAGAAGAATGGTGGGACAAAATGGAGCAGAAGTCTCTCTAATTGAATATATGTCTCTCCAAATACAGCTGTCAAAGTGTATTAAGTTGGAGTGGGCTAGGAATGCCTTGTGAATTTGTGATTTCTCCATGCTGGGCGGGCGTATTTTGTAGTAACTTGATGGCAAAGAGCCTCTTTTTAAAAAATGAGTTGTAGATGGACACAATACCTTTTGTCTTTTTTTATTTTTTATGTAGTGCTGAGAATCGCACATGCTAGGCAGGCACTCTACCACTAAGTCACAACCCCAGCCCCAAATCTCCTGTTTTGTTTTGGCTCCTGCAGTGGCTATAGTGAGCACTATGTTGTGATGAAGAGTTTAACATCACAATATTTGGGATGGTTGACTATAATGCTGCTCATGGAAACTTAAGGATCAAACTAATATACTTTAATCATATTAATATGGTAGGGAATTATTTAATGCACTGAATATTTTTGGGGAAGATTAGAGCTTTAGGTAAGTCGAGCAATTTTGTATGTTTACAAATAAACCCATGTGTAATATAATGAATGATACGAATATTTGGCATTCCTGTTCACTGTTTAAATGTTAAAATCAAATTCCATTTGTTTCTTGAATGTATATTATCTGGTTCTGGGGGAAGATCAGGAATATGGCTAAAGAGAATTTTGTTTCTGAGAACTTTGCTTTGACCTATTTGATCAACAGGCCAGAACTACTTGGTACTTTTCTGCAGTGCATGGATTTGGCCAGCAGAGGGCAGGAGAGTAAACACAGTACCTTGCTGATACAACACAAAAGCTGTGTGATCCCAGAATTCTAAGGCCTAGATCCTGTGGGTGGTCACTCTTGGTGAGCTGGAAGGGATACCCATCTGGGAGGGTGAGCTTGCCCTTGGCTCAGGCTGATGGTGGGTTTTGAAAGAAAGCCCTGGTGTTGCCAGGTCTCCTGATTATTCAAGAGAAGAAAACATTCCAGATTGCTCTGTGAAATTTTCTCATTTGAAAGTATTGCTTTCAAAACATCATTCTGGTGTTTGGGGAGGGGTTTGGGGAACAAAGCCATGTTAGTAGGCTGAATTTGGTCTGTGGTTTGACTCTTAGGAATGCTATAAACAGCTCAGAGTTGCCTTTATGAAAGGAAATTTCCATAGCTTTTCTTTAAAAGGGAAGAGAGGAATATAGGAAACAAAGGTAAAGCTGTTTTAGTATTTCAGGGGAAATTCACATAGTCTCTTTTTTTTTTTTTTTTTGAGAGAGAGGAGGGAGGGAGAGAGAGAATTTTTAATATTTATTTTTTAGTTCTCGGCGGACACAACATCTTTGTTTGTATGTGGTGCTGAGGATCGAACCAGGGCATGCCAGGCGAGCACACATCCCCAGCCCACATAGTCTCTTTTGTGATGAAAATTTTAAGGTGACAATATATTTGTTTTGGAATCCTGAGATAGAAGTTGACTTTCCTGTTTGACAAGAATTTTCCATCAAGTAACAAGTTACTTTATTAGTTACTTTTACCCAAAGTCCTGCTGCTGCGGAATGATTACAGACAGGTTTGGTGGGATTGTTTGACTTTTAAACATTTTTTAAACTTTTGATATGGGAGTTAAAGTGGCCCTCCGGCTGTACCCAGAGCCTGCTCTGAGGCCCTCCAGAAATGCCCCTAACAGTTCTGACTGCAGTGTCCTGGCCTCTCTGATTCTGCTTTGTTCTTTTCTCTGCACAGCAACCAGAACCATTTTTAAAAAAATCAAGTTTAATCAAGTCTTTTCTGCTTCTGTGTTATTCCCTTGGCCCCTTAGCATCCTTCATGGCTGCTGCTTGCACATCAGGATAGAGATAAAACTCTCCACAGCCTGGCCAGCGTTTGTTTTCTCCTCATCTGTCTTAATAATCTCTTTTCACCCAGCCACCTTGGCTTTGTATTTAYCATGTTTTCTGCCATCTCAGTTTTGGGACAAAATTACTATAAGCCTCACCAATAGAGCTCTGATAGAAGATAGAGTTGACGGGACAGGTGGAAAGTTTTGTTTGTATATAATAAGAAACTTGGAGTGAAGACCATCTTCATGCAAGTGTTTTTGAATTAAGTTGTCCTTTGTTTGGAGCATAAGAAAAAAGAATAGGGAATAAAATGAACTAGGGCTATAAAATGTGAGCTAAATAAAGTGCTGATTATCTTAACAAAATATTGAGTATCACTTAAAAAGGGTAGAGGACTTTCCTGTAATATCCAGGAGTTGGCTTTAATAGTTGTCTTCTGCCATGCACAATGGCACACATCTGTAATCCCAGTGACTTTGGAATTTTGAGGCCAGCCTCAGCAAYTTAGGGAGGCCCCAAGTAACTTAGTGAGACCCTGTCTCAAAAATATAAAGGGCTGGGGATGTGGCTCAGTGGTTAACTGCCCCTGGGTATAATCCTTGGTACAAATAAAGTATTTTAAGGAGTGTGAACTTTTTAGCTTTGAAATTATAAGAAAAACAGCATCTGTTAACATATTTGTTGAAGAAATTCACTAATCTTAGACCATAAGCTTACCAATCTTTCTCTAATAACCCAGACATGAACTCTGAATCTTCAGATCTATGTTCAAGCATTGCTTTCTCTAGGGAAACATCCCTTAATATTTCTCCTAAGATCAGAACCCCTGCTAACAGCACCATGTCCCTGTCCCTCTAAAAAGATTTGTGTGTGTGTGTTGGAGAGAATGATGCATAGATGAAATATTGATCCTGCTGGAGATGTGGCAGCAACCCACGGAAGGGCCCATGCTTTGGGAAGTGAGCCTGACCATGTGTGTGGAAACTGGCCATAAATAAGAGGATGGCCAGGGGTACTCTGCTCACAGTCCAGGAAAGGGTCCTCTGGGGAGGTGACGGCTAAAACTGCATAGTCGTTATGTGGCTGCAGCTGAGTGTCATGAGAAGCAGCTCTTTTGTGATAAGAGAACAGATCCTGAAGAAGGGTATGGACACTGTTAAGGTGTTGCATTGGAGGYGGCAAGATGTGGGAGTGGCTGTCTGGTTTCTGTTTTCTTGGGTAGGCTTCTTGCTGATCTGAAGATGGCAAGTGTGAGTTGCATTTGGACTTGGAAATTTCAGTGGTGTGTGCTCCACATCCTTCCATAGTCAGCCCGTTAGCCTCCTGTGTCTGCTCTCTGGGAGATGCCGAAGACCAGCAGAACGGAAGTCATGCTTTTTACAAGGCCCCTGACCTACCGATACTGGAATGAATTGCATCTTCCCACACAGGAGAATGCCAGCTGGGCTGCCTAAAACCGGCCTGTCACATCTGTGTGTGTCCTTCTGCCTTTGAAATACTAATTGTGAAAGAGAGAACAATTCTCTGACCCGGAAGGTAATTGGACGGAACAAACTGTTAGGCTCATGATTCAGTGACTGCAAAGACCCTCCAACACCTCAGCTGGAATCCCTTCCCATCTGGAAGGGACCATGCATATAGTCAACTGGATGATTTCTGGTGGCCAGACCTTGGGTGAAGTCTCTGATGGYGGTACCCTGCTCACAATCTGGGAGAGTCCTCCGGGGAGGTGACAGCTGAAATGGCTTAGCCCTTATGTGGCTGCAGCCGAGTGTCATGAGAAGCAGCTCTGGAGCCTCTGAAGCCCTGGGTCCAGCCAGCTGCTGCTTTGACACACTCGCTCTTGAAGTTAACATGGGTGTTTTTTGTTTGTTTTTGTTTTTTAAATATTAGTTTTTAGTTGTACTGTTATGCTCAAATTCGGGACCCCCAAAAGACCACCAGAGACCAAGATCGATGTAAGCAGCAAAGAGGTGTTTATTGCGAGCTAGCTTGGTCCTCTGCACGCTCACATAGCAACTGGTGATGCTGAGAGGCCCCCAGTCCAGGGTTTGCAGCAGTTTTATACACTCTTTGGGGAAGGCAGGGACTTCACATACATCATAGCATCTCTTAGCAAATCATCACACCGAGGGAAAATCATAAACAACTCTAAAACATGATTAGCACATTCACTGTTGGGAACAAGTTGGGTAAGGTGATTGGTTAGTACAAGAGGGGAATTCCTTTGAACTGATTAGTTTAAGCCACAAGGGGAGTAGTGCTGAACTACATGGTATCCCAACATGTTATCAACCACCATAAACTACTGGGAGGGTCATCTGGCATCCCAGGTATTTCCCTGTCTCATGCTGATTGGTGGTTGCTAAGGGGTTGCTATGGGTCCTCACCTAGCCTGACTGAGTTAGGGACACCTGGTGCAGTAGATCTCTCCTGTTATTTGTAGATAAACAACTCAGCAGGGTGGATATGTGCCTAGGAGTGCTCTATGGGTTTTTCCAAGGACAAGGGTCATGCCTCCTTCCTTGGACAGGCTTTGCTCTGAGGTAGAGGCTGGTTTCTCAAAAATGGAGTCACATCAGTTTCTCAGTACAAATACATGAATGAATTCTTCTAAAAAAAAAAATCATGAAAGATAGAACTGATTTTTTTTTTTTTTTTTGGACTTGCGCCTTTCTTCAGAAGTTACAACTGATATTGAGTGTGCATCTTTGCAGATGGGTGGGTTTACCTACTCTATTACTTAGAATCACATTTGGCTGTATGAGATGGAGAAACTTCTAACTTATTAAATTATTATTTTTTTTTATATTTGCGTTTATTCTTCATTTAACTTTTAAAACACTACTATAATTGAATATTAAAACAAAAACAATAGCAAGTAGTGAGCATATTATGATTATAGTCCTTCACTCATTCACTACTGCATATAAAATGCCTGCAGTGAGTATTATTCACTGGCCCCATTAAGAGGTTTGACACTGAACACCACCTCTGGGATGATGTTCATCATCCTCATATGCTTCTCCATTATAATGGCGCCGTCTTTCCTGATTTGGATCAAAGTCCACCAGTTCTACCTGATCCATTTCATCAGTCTCTTCCACTTCCTTCCTCTCAGGTAGGAGTTTTTCCAGCAAAGAGAGTTTGTCAGGAGACAGAAAGCCATTTTCAGGAAAGTTTACCTTAAACTCGATGATTAGGCGACCCTTTTCATATGGTCTACGATAAATTGGCATACCTTCATTTAGCACACACTTTATATCTCCATGCTTGACAATCTGACCT